ACAAAGAAAATAGAACAAACGAAAACCAAGGCGGAAATTGATACAATAATAGAAATGACAAAAGGACGTACAACTAAAAATCTGACAAAATCAACATGTGAAAACACTACTAAAATTTGATAAACATAAAGCATCCAAAATCGATCAGGTAACAAGGTCATGCAGCTAGCAATCAGACTAATCATCCAAGCAATAAGATCATACAATAGATGGAATTAATACTTAAAAATCTACAACAAGAGACGTACTACGTCGAGCGAAATAATCCAAATAAGGAAACCCTCATGTATATACCATATGTCTCAAATTATAGATAATTAAATGTTAATCCCGATCTATGTATGAAAAGAAGTACAACCGGCCTACATCTCACAAGAATCATACTTAGTCAAAAATCGAGGTCATGTAACTAACCATCCCATCACTCATCTTAAATAATTAACAATCACAATATCACTACTCCTCATACCCACCCCGGTGACTACACAAACTTCACTGGCGCGAGCCCGAAATATGCATCAACAATCACAATATCTCATCTCCTCAGACCTACCCCGGTGACTACACAAACTTCACCGGTGCGAGCCCGGAATACAACCACAATCACAATATCTCATCTCCTCAGACCCACCCTGGTGACTACACAAACTTCACTGGCACGAGCCCGGAATATACATCAACAATCCCAACCACTTACATGGACCAAGACTTCTCACCCTAATTCTCGTAATTCTATATCAACTACAAACGAGGTTCTAGATCCTAATTGTGTCATACAGGTCACTATAGTCATAAACTCCTAATGATTCTCAATCATGATATTGAACAATCAATGCAACTAATCATGTGCAATAATATCATAGTATATCAATTAATCAAAATAAGAATTATAAATCATAAACAACATCTGCATAATTCAGAAAATAATCTTTTTCTAAATTAATTCATTTTAAATTATTTCTCTTAATAATTAATCTAAAATAATTCATTTTCCAAAATAAATTCTTTTAAATTATTATAATTATCTAAAAAATGATTCTTTTGTCGAACTAAATTCTTTTAATTCTTTATAATTATTCTAAAAATTCTATTTATCATATTACTATAATATATTTTAATATTCTTCATCAAACAATCCACGCAGGTAATTATATTACAAACTAATATATACAGACAACTCATAATAGATCTGAAAATGTAAAGAACGACAAGCTGAGTAACGAGGTCTTGCCTCAGGGTTTCGTCGAACGAATCGACGTCGACGTGCGAGTTAGCGGTGAGCGTCGGCTGAGGCATAACGGCAACGACGGAGATGAAGGGGTTGCGGGGGCTCGGCTTTGAGATGGCGATGACGACGAGATTCGAACGGCAAGGCTCCTGGCGGTTCGGTAGCGGGGTGAGGTGACGGTGGCTGACGCGACAGAGAGGCGGAAGATCAGGACCAGATCGAGCTCGGCAGCGGCGGATCTGCGGGACACGGGTTCAGAGGTTCTTTGCGCAGTTCGCAGCGGCCGCTGTTGCAGGCCAGGGAAGAAGCTGAGCGCGGACCCTGAGGGGGAACAGTGGAAAACGGGCTAAGGGTGGTGGCTGGCTGGTGTAGCGGTGATCCTGGCGGAGGTGGGCAGCGACAGCAAAGGGAGAGCGGAGGTGGCTGCACGGATTGGCCGGCGAAAGGAGGAGAGAGAGGATACGTGGCCGGCGGAGGAGTGGTGTGGGTCTGGTCAGAGGGTTTCAGAGCGGGGAGGAGCTGTTTGACCTGATCTGGGAGGGGTTGAGCGGATAGGGATTGAGGGCGGCTCTGCGTTTGGGAGGGCAGCATGAGACTGAGCGGGAGGGAAGGCGGAAGATGGGGCTCTTGAGTGGTTCGGCGGCACGAGGCGTAGCGTGTTTAGGCGTTTCGGACGTATGGGCGCCAGGGTTAGCCGATTGCTATGGGTACGTGGGGGTTTCTGAGCAGAGGAGGTTGCGTGTGAGGCGGAGGCCTGGAGGCGGGCTCGGAGGTTGTGCACCGCGGTGGCGGTTTGGCTGAGCGGGTGACGGTCAGGTCGGGGAGAAGAGAAAGGGAGAAAGGGGATAGAAAATGAGGGCGGCGGCGATTGGGTTCACGAAGAGGAGTAAAGAGAGAGATGAGCGAAAATTACAAATAGTATATATATATATATATATATAATATATTATATATATATATATATTATATATTATATATATTATATATATATAATTATTATTATATATAAGGAAACTGTTCTAGCGCTTGGGCTTCAGGAAATTCCTGGCGCTCGTCAAACACGTGGCCGACGTCGGTTTTGGCAAGAAGCGGAGGCTGGGTTTTTTTGAAAAAACCCCTGTGCTCAGTCCCTCAGATCCCTAATTCACTCACGCCTCAGCCCTAATTCAACCTTCCCTCTTCCCCTTCCAGAACCCACGCCCAGCCAGAACCCATGCCCAGCCCCAATTCGTCAAAATCAGTTCGTGTTTTCTCTTGCCTTAAGCTCCGACGCTGACGCCCATCTAAGCTCCGACGCCGACAGCCATCTAAGCTCCGACACCGACACCCCCCTCGAAGTTTACCCGTCGAACACCCTCCGCCAACTAGAGGCGCTCGTTCGTGAACCCCAGAGAACGCTGCGCTCCTTCTCCAGGCGCTCCCCCAGCTCGAGCGCAGGAACTAGATCTCTCCTCCAGACGCTCCCCCATCTCTCGCGGCCTCCCTAGCCGGCGCAATCGATAAATTGGAACCCGATCTTGCGTCTCCAGATCATGGTAAAATTCTTTCTCGACAACAAGAATTGACCATTGAAGTTTCTCAATTTTGTTTATTTGATTTTTTTAAAATTCATTTTGGGGATAATATCTAAAATTTATCTGATGCTTTTTCGGGTTAAAATCTGTATCACAAGATGCTATATGGTAAAATTGCTAAAATTTGGTTTTAGCAATTTGGTAAAATTAAACTTATGCTAAAATTTAGTGAGTAATTAGGATTTAGTTTCTTCATGCTTTTATTCTATGAGTGTCGACTTCTTATTATTGGCGTTTGTAGATCAAACGAGATCTATCAGCTGGCATAACTAGTTAGTCAGTTCTGTGAAATGTGATATATGACATCTAGGTGTGCTTCTAAATTGTTCTTGCTATGCGTGTAAGCTCTTTTTATTAACAGTTCAGATCATTCAGAAGTCCATCCGATACTGTGATCATTAGCACAAATTGACAATATCAGTAGATATTATTACGTTCGGTAGACTAATGTTTGACGCCGTTTATTCCAGATGAAAACAACAGCAGATGAAAACAACAGCAGATGTCCAGCCATTTATTACTGTGATCATTAGTAACATTTGGTTTCATTTTTACTTTTTGTGAATTTTTTGTCACTGGTATAACAACTGTTTGCAAAATGTTGTTAATGAACCTCATTGTGTAGGTGATGCCTTGTATGATGCATGGCCAGCTATTAAATTCTTGTGCTTAGTGTTCAATGATCTTCTCAGTCGGTTTAACTACAGAGCATAGACGATCAGCTATTAAATTCTTGTGCTTAGTGTTCAATGATCTTCTCAGTCGGTTTAACTACAGAGCATAGACGATAACTTGATACAAAATCCACTTAATTTCTCAATGATCTTCTCAGTCGGTTTAACTACAGAGCATAGACGATAACTTGATACAAAATCCACTTAATTTCCCCCCCTCCCTAGCTGTAAATCTTTCAACAGAATGAATCCAGTGCTCCTTTGAGTTTAGTGAAATTTTCGGAAGAAATTTTATCCTGTTTGTGGTATGTTTTTTGCAGATAAAAGATGAAGAAATTTTCGGAAGAGTTCAGTGAAGAAGAAGATGAGGGTTTGGTTAAAAGAAGATGTTATTGTGGTTTAATTTGCAGAATATCGATGTGCAAGCAGGGACACAATAAGAGCTTGGAATTTTATGGATGCCCGAGATACAAGGGACCTAATTGCAAGGGTTGCGACTTCTTCGAATGGGTGGGTGATGATAAGAACATCACAAAAAGGCTGGAAAGGCTGGAAAAAAATGTTGAGGTTTTGAAACAAATGCAGAATGGTGTAATTTTATATTTAAAATTTATAAGTATTGTTGTACTGATATTGTTGCTTTGCGTTATAGTCAAATGACTGAGCATCATATCAGTGAATGGCTGATGTATCCAAGTATCCTATTGTAAACGACTGTTCAAACTGGTTATGGTTAACTGTTATGATTCAGTTGTTATGGTTCAATTGTTATGGTTCAATTGAAAACAACTGAGGTACTGTTGTATTTTCTTTCTTCAGACTACTATCATATGACTGTTTTCAGGTGATGCACAACACTTGCTAGTTTCTCTGCACATGTCAGCATGTTTGTGTGGTATATAAATCTTTTGACAGACTCTGATTGAACATGATTCTTGCACTTTAACTCTTAACATGTGCGTGGGTTGTGTCAAGAACTATTACAGGTTGTGTTAAGATAAACTGTTAATATGTGTAGGTGATGCCTTGTATTATGCGAAGTTAATTATTTTAGGCTTGTTTGTGAACACCAGGCAACAATGAAACCTTTTAAGCTGTTTCTGCTGGAAAATCAAAAAATGTTTCTCATGGTACACAAATGATACGCACAAACCCATATAGCCAAAATATGAAGGAAAACAAAACACCCAAATCATTGGCTTCTTCTGTTCTTTCAGCCATAGGATATAATGAGTAAAACCTTCCCAAGCAGCAAAATTGTGAAACTAAGTAACATCACCTTCTGTTATCATCCAAGGGGGAAAAAAGTAACATCACATTCATCACCCAAATAGTCCTCTCAAGAAATCAGCCAAGTGGTTTAGCCAGAGAAACACTCAAAAGTGCTTATACAACACGCTGCCAGCATCAAGAATTTTACTTCCAGCATGAGAAAAAATTGCGCAAACCCACATGCAAACCCACACGCTTATACAACACGCTGCCACATGACAAAAAATTTCACTTCCAGCATCAAGACCGATAGGAACAGAATGCAGAAATTTCACTGCCAGCATAGAGAATTCCAAAGGAGAGCTTACAAATGACAAACAGTTGAAGACAATTAGAAACTTATACGATTGACGAAAACGACTATCAGTAACCGTCAATAGCATAATTTCAATACCCTAAATGAAAAGAAATGATGATAGTTTTTGACAAAAAGAACCAAATAGGCACTGACACCAGCAGAAATCAAGATTTTTCCCCCAGTCAAAAGAAATCCAACTACAGAGAACTCATGTGCTGCTTATCTATAAAACCTCCATTGAAATAAATAACAGTGAATTCTCTCGTCATCTGCCACAAAACATCCAAAGATTCTTCTTGATTGCTCTCGTCATCTGCAACAAAACATCGAATGAAATAAATAACAGTGAATTCAACGTAATTAAACATACCTGGGTAATCCTGCCTATCTATAAAAACTCGAAAGATTATGTAATGTGTGGATATTTACCTGTAGAAGCATATAGCAGATTTCAGAACATTTTTTCTAGCAGATATCTCCATAAACTTTGTTCGTTAGTCTTGTTTGTCAGTTTCGCTGCATAAAATATCAAAGATAAAATTAATAATATGATTTAAGTAATAAAATATTTTAACTTGTCAACGTAATTAAACATACCTGGGCTTGTTAACTGTACAGCTAGTCCTATAATGCCCAAGTTGTCCACATCTACTACATGTACGCTTTTGCCTCTCTTTCTTTTCTTTTGCTTGTTCTAAAGTTGATTTAATTCTTGTAGCATTGCGTGGACGACCTTTGGTTCTTGCTTGCTTTTCCGGGTCACGAACTGTAATTTGTGGAATATGTTGAATTATATGTGAAGTAGGTATCTATAGAAGATCTGAGTCAGGAATGTGGCTGCTACCAGCATCTATTGCTTGACACCCTCTGACTTCTTCTTCAACCCTCTCTATGAAACTTGTTAACAAAGAATCAAGCTCATGCATTCTCTTATCTGACTCAAAGGCAAGCTCCAGTGCATTGTTGGTTTTTGCTTTCAAAGCCCAAGTTTTCAACAGATTTATTTTTTCTACACCGCCTTCAATGTTTTTGCCAAACACAACATTACTAACTCCAATGTTACGATGTCGAGCATCTATAGTCCAACGGTGTACAATATATACACTGGGTAATGAACAACATTGTCTGTTGAACATTAGAGTGTACAATATATGTTTGCATAAAACACCACTATTCTCAAACATACCACAGCTGCAACTATACTGTAATTCTCTACATTCATCATAAGTAACAAACCTCCATTTTTCATTGCTTTCATCTAAGTCACCAACTCGCCACAAAGCAGACTTTTCTTCTTTGGTCACCTCTTGAAGGCCAAGAACACCACACCCTTTGATCTCATTCTGAAATACATGAAACATAGTGCGGGTATAACTACTTCCAGCTTGTCTTTCAATTGGATGCCCAAGGTGAAGCTGTGGTTTTGTATTAAGAGTTCTAAAATCTTCATGTGCTTCACTCATTCGTCGATGTGCCACGGCCTTTTCATATTGAGTTACAAATGCTTTTAATTGTGTTTGTGAATTCACATATCCATCAAAGAATGAGTTGATGCTTTCACTCCTTTGAGTTGATCTTATTCCTGCAAAAAAAATGCCTTTTAAGAAGCATGGCACCCAATGGTCTCGATACATGTACATAGTTTGCAGCCATCCATCATCTTCTTCTATTAGCTTAAACTTCTCCTTCATCTGGAGCCAATGCAAATTACAGTTCTCAATGTTACCACTATTACACCACAAGTCCCAATATTTTTGAAATTTTTCACCATAAACAGAATTCAAAGAATGCAAATGATCGGCAATATGTCGCTGTAGATGCTAATAACAATAACGATGCCTTGTGTTTGGAAAGACTTTATGAATGACATTGCACATTGCTCGGTCTTGGTCTGTGATGATAGCACCCGGTTCTATTCCATGCATGCAGTTTAACCATTCCTGAAACAACCAAACAAATGTTTCTTCTTGTTCATCAACAAGCAATGTGCAACCAAATAAAGTAGATTGCCTATGATGATTCACCCCAGTAAATGGTGCAAATGGAAGACTGAACTTGTTCGTTTTATAAGTCACATCAAACACAATAACATCATTAAACTTCAAATAAGTTGATCTTGATTTTCCATCCGCCCAAAAAACACTTCTCATATGTCCAGTGCAATCTACTTCCAAAGCAAAATAAAAATCTGCATCACTAGCCGCCTTTCTTTGAAAATATTGGATAACAGATATACATTCATTGCCAATATTGTTATGCCTTTGAGTTTTCAAATAGTCAATGCATTGTTGCGGTGTCACTGATTCATCTTCTCTTCCACTTGTCGCGTTAATAACACGAGAAATAGTGAAAGGAGTAATACCTTCTTCTTGCAAACATTGAATCATTTTTTTTACACCCTTTACTTCTATGAAATTGTTGTTGTGACATGTGCATCTTTGCTTTATCTAGACTACTGAGCATGTGGTTTGTATGATCTTCAATAAAACCTACAACTTTCCATGTTTTATCCTCCAATAATTTTATTCTCATCATTGCTTTACAGCCAACTCTGGTCTCTCGCCGATGATTGATATTTTTCCCTATATCTCTCTTGTCTTTATTAGATCTATAACCTTCTTTGTCACAAAAAAATTTTCTATTCAACACTTGTTTATCTTTTTGGGAGTAATTCACTGACCTTTTTCTGATTCCAAATCCCATCATCAAAGCATACGAGTTATAATAGTTGTAGGCCTCTTCATGACTACTAAAGATCATTCCTAAACACGGTTTTTCACCAATTTGCATTCTGAAAATAAAGATAATTGGAGGTCAATATATAATGCTACTCAACGTTACTATTTCAAACAACATATTTCATGTCAGCGAAATTCATGATATTAATGAAGTACCTTGAAACAGGCATCGTTGTTGGAAAAGGCATGAAATCGTTGTTGTTGTTACTATCACCAGTTTCAGCCATTTGTCTTCTTTTTACCCCCTGAAAGCAATATTTTATAAAATTGATCAAAAAGATATGGGGTGTGCTAATATTTTCATAAAAGGGTTGGTTGTACTTATTATTTTTGAAACATAGTCTTTTTTTTATTCTCCATATGAAATCAGTACTAGCAGAAAAGGGATAAGTACCAAAACTGGTGCTGTAGAAATCAATGCAAGCTGCACAAACATAACTTCTCATCTTCTCCATTCTCCTTGTATGACCTCATACAGTGAACTTCAATATGGTCTCATTGAGTCATCGCTATCCTTGTGACTAATTTTTTTTATTAAGGGGAAATATATTTTAAACTAGAATCTTTCTCGTTTTCATCTTTAGATTATTTTCATTAGTTTTACCACTATAATGTTCTAATTTATTTATATGCATATCAAGAGAACAAAATCAGCCTGCTCTAGCAAAAGCTAGCGTCAAGTGGATTTATTTCTTTTTGATAGATTGGATAATTTGTGGCTAGAAAGGATCAAGCTATATTTAAGCTTGATTGGTATATAACTTATAACTCCATCCAATACGATAAGAAGAACTGACCTGACCAGCGTCGGCGTGGGATCGGAGACACGTCGGCGTGGGATAAGAAGAACTGACCTGACCAGCGTTCTCTGGGGTTCACGAACGAGCGCCTCTAGTTGGCGGAGGGTGTTCGACGGGTAAACTTCGAGGGGGACATCGGTGTCGGAGCTTAGATGGCCGTCGGCGTCGGAGCTTAGATGGGCGTCGGCATCGGAGCTTAAGGCAAGAGAAAACACGAGCTGATTTTGACGAATTGGGGCTGGGCGTGGGTTCTAGCTGGGCGTGGGTTCTGGAAGGGGAAGAGGGAAGGTTGAATTAGGGCTGAGGCGTGGGTGAATTAGGGATCTGAGGGACTGAGCACAGGGGTTTTTTCAAAAAAACCCAGCCTCTTACAGAATAATTATCTACAATTAAAAACGTACATGTTGTGCTAATATAACAGTTGATACGAAATAGTCAAAATATACATATATTATATAATTAAACGAGAATAATTAATAATAAAAATATATTTACTTATTTTTAAAATAAAATAATTATGGGATAATTATATACACGATAAAACGTATCATTTATACTAATACGACAGATAATATGTAACAACAGAAATAATACAATAAATTATACCAAAAATACGTAATTAATAATACCTTGTATTATATAAAATAATACGTAATAATATTAATAATACTATGTATTATCCAAAATGATATGTAATAGTATCGGTAACGTAACAGATAAATTCCAAAATTTTTTACTACACTGAATAAATTTATAAATGTTGAAATCATTTAAATAAATATTAAACGTAGAATTTAAATCATAGAAAATTGTAAAAATTCAAGAAAAATATAAATACTCTTTTAAAAATCATAATTAAATATTTTAAAATATCAGAAAATAATTTTAACTAGTATTAAAATTCTTGGTTCTTACATGAATGGTCTGGATCTCTCTAAAAAAATGACGGTTGAGATCAAAGGCACCACTAGATCCAAGGCTTAGATCGAGCACGGGAATCCGAGGCTATCCCATCAGATCACATTTATTGTGATATGACGTGCCTACGTCACCTTAGCTAGCAAGTGTAGAGAGCTGCCTGCAGACATGTGGCCCGCCTGTTAACTCTTAGACCTCGTCTGCAAGCACGAAGCTCGTCTGATGACATCTGGAGCTTACCTGCATAGTTCGAGATCACCCATGGAATTAAAATCGCCCACATTTTATTTTGAACTCGCCTAAAGGGCTCAGCTCAATAAAGAAAGTCAAGTTCACCTAATGATCACTTTCGTTCAAAGTGTTCCAGACCACGTTCAACTTGATTTAGGTCTGAAAATTTTGAAGGGGGTCTTGTAGGTAGTAAAAATTACCTAAGGATAGAAGCCCACCTGACTGGTCCTGCCTTCTAGTAGCTTGGGCTTGTCTGCCCATCAAAAGCTCACCTACACACTTGACTCGCCTGCACGAGTCGAGCTCACTTGTGCACCTGGTTCGCCTGCAAGAACCTAACTCACCAAAGAAGCTTAGCTCGCCAGCGCGAGTCCAGCTCGCATGCGTGCTCCACTCGCCTGAACACTTGAGTCTAGGCTCGCCTGTTTGCTTGACTCGCTAGCACGAGTCAGGCACGCATGGTTGTTGAGCTCGTCAGCATGAGCTCAACCTCGCCTGATGCGGCATAAACATGTACCAAAAGGTTGCAAGTGCACAACCGTGTCAAGTTATAGTATTTAAGATATCGATCCCACGAGGAAGGTGTTTTGTAGGAGAAAATATAAAATCGGTTCTTATGTTGTGTGCATGACAAATAAGATTGATGAGTGAATATGATTGTGAAGAGATTGAGAGAGTGAAAGTGGTGTGTAAATAGGTGCAAAGTGTAAATGAGAGTGAGTATGAACAATAAGGTGAGAAGGAAAAAATGAATAAAATCAAGAAACAAAATAAAAAATTCAAGAATGAAGAATAAAATTCTAGAATAAAAGAAAATGCAAGAAATTAAAGATGGTGGATTCAATTATAGATATGGGTAATCTAAAATTGAACCCACTTCTTAGAAAATGGTGATTCCCTAGAGGGTTCTAGCCTAAAGGCGAATCAAACAAAATAAAAATAAACAAAAAGAAAAACTAAACCCAAGAGGGTTCTAGCCTCAAGGTGAATAGTATAAGAAATTAAAATCTAACTACAAAATAAAGTGCAAAATCTAAACTACAAAATAAAATTGCAAGAATTAAATGCAAGAAAATAAATCTACTCTATAAGCATGAAATAAATCTAAGGCAAGAGGGTTCTAGCCTCTTGGCTATTTAACAAGAAAATAAAATCTAAACTACAAGCATAGATACCCCCATCCGCGTGCTCTTCTTCCTGAACAACCTGTTACCGGCTGACGTTTGCTTCACCTTGTGGTCCTGAACGCCTGGATTTGTTGCTCAGCCCATCTCTTCATAGTCTGCATGCATGCTCCATCCGAATTTGAAACCTTTCTTTCGCTTAGCCCAAAGCGTCTTCAAGCATCTTGGCCATTTCTTCCATGTTATCATAAAGCACTCGCGGGGTTAGTTCCTTCGCTGGACACTATGTATGTCCGATGCCCGACAGCACGAGCAGGAATCCATTCTTCATCTTTCGAAGGACAATCTTGTCCGAACCCTGACCATTAAGTGCCTCGTGCGATGCTCCGGACTGCCGACGGGTTACACGCCGCGGACGCTTCCATATAGACCGATTGAGATCATTGTGTGATGTCTCGTTGCTGGTCATGTTGGCGGTGACCTTCGGAAAATTCTCCATCTTAACCACTGTCTTCTGTTGCGGAAGGCCAAGGCCGTTCGCGTTTTGGGCGTTTCGGTGCGAGCTTCGACACGGGAAATTTTTCGGGACTCCCTTGATGCCCAGTTGCATGTGGGACATAACTACCCGAATGAGCTTGCGCACAAGGGCACTGAGTATTCGAGCCCTGAGGGCGTCTTTTCTTGTTTTGTTCGTTACCCCCAGCACGATTAGCTACAATCGTCCATCTTGATCGGAGTAGACCTATCGACGTGTGGACCATGTTCCCAGGTTATAAACTTATCATCTCGGATGACAACGTTTCCTTCTGAGAGCAAACTGCCTATTTGACTTCGAGAGTCACTCGCCTCGAAAACGCCTTTGCCTAGACATGAATTTCTCAGCGGCTCCCGCAACTTCGCATGGCGCAAGGTATGCGCTTGGGTGCCGTAAACTCTTGTCATGTTGGGTGTGTGTCGACCCCAGCATGTTGATTAGTATCGGAACCTCTTCATCGAGGCAAGCCAATTGGGTTACTTCCGAGCGTTCATGGACTTCGTTGGCCGCTCCAAGATTGACCTCCTTCCTCGATAGTTCGGGAGGTTGAACTCGTTGAATGGCTGTAAAGCGTCGCATCCTCGGGCACTGACTCACCACTTTGGACTTTGCCTCATATTTTGTGGTTTAGTGGGATTTTTTGGCTACGCCATCTGCACCTATCTGACGGTTTTCTTGAACTTGAGCTCGTGCTTGTGCCTGAGATGCCGGCGCTTCTGAATGCCTGATCTCCAGTGCTTGAACGTTCCGTTTGACACGGATCCATTCGTTCGTTGGTGGCCTTGAGGAGTGCCATTCATGTTGTTGAGGTCGCTTCGCCTCTTCTGTTTCTTCAGATCCGTGTGTTAACGGATCCCGTCCACAGATCCATTGCCTTTGCGATGGTTTCGCAATTTTGGCGCCTGACGTGCCTTTGGCAGGCTCTCTTTGAGACACGTCACTACCGCCCTCGGCAACGCGAAGATTCCGGCCAGAGCCCCAGATCTGACCTGTTGGAAAGGAAATCGTCACCCGAGCGAGCTTCCGGCATCAAACGGCGAGATCTTCAAGTTCGGCAGCTATCAACTTCTTCGTACCAACGAAGTTTTCTCTTGGAAGAGAGCTTGGAGACTTGGACTTCGAGGGGAGGTGGATTTGACGAGGATGACAGATACTCCTCGAACTTTTTGGTTTTCGAATTCGTTACTCGACCTCCTCCGTCGACCGGCGATCGGGCATCCGCGCGGCTGCGACGCCGAACAGCTTCGCCAGTAAAGCTGTTGGCCTGCCCACTGTGCGGCGCCCAGATTGTTCGCCGGAAAGGTGGTGTTTCCTTCATTAGTCGATATCCATTGCACTCAGTTAACAACTTATGCTTACAAAAGAGATCCGGCTCTTTTTATAAGTCCGGCTTACAATGAAAATCAAAATAAAAAAAGAAATCAAAAGTTACAACTGGTGGCTCTCACCGAAACAAATCACAAGATCCTGTTATCCGCGTCTCTTGCTTTGGTGCGGTTCTTTGCCTGCGCGGGCGTTATTTGCTGCGGACCACCGTGCTGATCTCGATCGGTCGGATCTACACGATATGAACGGGTAATAATTCCACAAGGAATAATAGCCAGGGTGAGGGGATTGTCTTCACCAAGGAAACAACCCGCTCGAATCTCGGATCTAAGAACCAAGCTTAGATCCGGAGTGGTGATCGTGTACGATCTCAAATCCAATCCTCGCGAACTCCTGACCTTATTTGCGTGGTGATCGCCCGAGCACCGGACTCTGAAAGTCCAAGTCTCCAAGCCTTCAAAGTTGTATCTTTTAATCTGAGTCGTTCAATCCAGCAGGGGCTTCGCCCTTTCTCTCCAAAATTTTCCCCTCTGAAACAAATGAGCCACAAAGCGGCTATTAGTTATAGGACACCTCAGGGGGAAAAAAAAACTGTGCCATTTGCACAGTTCTGAGCCTAGCAAACCCATGGGTGGCTCGGCCTTAGCGCAGCCCACCCATGGCGGTTGGCTCGGCCTTCGGGCCGAAGCCACCTCAGTTGGTGGCAATCGGCTTTGCCGAGCCACCTTCAAGGGGGGGCTGGCTCGCGCTTGGCCCGAGCCCCTGAGGTGGCTCGGCCACGAGCCACCTCAGGGTGGCCTCGGCTGGGCCGAGCCACCCTGGGTGGTCGGGAGAGGTTTCGCGAAGTCCCCGTGTGTGTTGTCCGTCTTAGTCCTTTGTTTTCCGTTCTGTTCTCTTGTCTGCTGGTGATTGACTTGCAACGATCTTTGACTTATTCAGAATTGGCAGTGAGTCGGGTTCCTGTGATATCGGCCAGCTAAATCACTTCTGAATTTGAGTCCGAACATTGATGATGTTGATTGCATCGTGACTTCATCGAGTTCGCTCTTGTTTAGATGACTCGGTGATTTCACCTAAACATTGCGTTGATCCGGCTGTGCCGAGAGATGCAATCCAATGCTTGGGTGGCCGATTTGTCGCCTGTTAACCTGCTCCGTCGCGTTATAGCTGGCTTCACGGTTGCGAGCCTAACGTCTTGTTTGGATAATCATCGTCGCCCCGTGGTCC